TAGTTAATTGGGATGGGAGTGTCAGAGACAGTGCGATTGGCACAGGACAGAGCAGAGTTTAGGGCTGTTGTACATAGGGTCGCTATGAGTCGCAAGCAACTCAACAGCACATAACAATAACAACAGTCTTATCAGGATGGATGGTGAAGAGATTGAAATTGTTAACAGCTTTAGTTTGCTTGGCTCCACAGTCTACATTCTTGGTACCAGCAGCCAGGAAATTAAAAGATGTATTGTGATGGGAAAGTCTGCTATGAGGGACCTTTCCAAAGTACTGAAGAGCAATGGTGTCACTCTGGAAACTAAGGTATGCCTGATACAGGCCATGGTCTTTGCAGTCACTTGCTATGTGTCAGAGGGTTGGACAATGACTAGTAGTGAGGACAGAAGGAGACTTGATGCTTTTGAACTGTGGTGTTAGATAAGAGTATTGAATATACCATGGACTGCTAAGAAAATTAACAGGTTCATCCTGGAGAGGAGTAAACCAGGCTTCTCCTTGGAGCCAATGATTCTAAAGCTTCATCTGACAAACTTTGGACATGTTGCAAGGAGGGACCCGTCCTTGGAGAAAGAAGTCATCCTTTGGAGGGTGGAAGAACAGAACAGGAGAGGAAGACCTTCTATGAGGTGAATTGATTCAGTGACTGGGGTAATTGGGGTAGGTGTGTCAGAGACAGTGAGATTGGCACAGTATAGAGCAGGATTAGGGCTATTGTACATTGGGTCACTATGAGTCACAAGCAACTCAGCTGCATGTAACAATAACAGCAACAACAGTCTTATCAGTCATAATATTTTATGATCCACACAGTCAAAAACCTAGGAGGGACTAGAAAAGCCACTGGACCAGGGAAGGCACCAGGCACGAGCCAACAGGTGATAGCCAGACAGCTGGATTTTTAACAAAGTCCCCACACGTGTCCATCCAGCAAGAGTCTGTGCACATGCCTACCCGATGTCTGTGTGCATGCACCACACCCATGCCTACCTTACTCCCATGTCCTCTACATTGTGCCTTACTTCTCCTTATGTCTAGTCAACTAACTGCCTTTAGTCTGGAGCACTTTGATCTGACCAGCTGCAACAGTTATCTGACAGAAGAGGCTGTTTTCATAGGCCTTGAACTGAAAAGTCCCATGGGTCAGAAGTTCAGAGAGAAACACTTGAAGGATAGCTGCCCAACCCTCTTCTGTAGCAGTGACTTCAGATCAAGAACCTATCATTGACTCAGGTATAAACATTCTACCACAGCAATGTCACAAAAGAAGCAGGCTATCCCACACCCTGTGCACGAGCAGAGCAAGATGTCACCTCAAACAGGGACACAGTATTAATAGATTTCCTGAAGTCAGAAAGTCTGATGGAACTTTCTAACACAGAATTTAAAAGAACAATGAATATTTTCAATAGGTGAAAGACAAATTTGAAGAATTACAAGACACTGCAAGCAAAAACCAGGAGGATTAAAAAAACAAAACATAACAAACAAACAAAAAAAACAACCAAAACCAACCCAAAACAATGCAAGTAAAACAAATGAGGCATTAGAGGCTCTGGAAAAATAAGAAACTATGATCCAAACTATAAGGTCCAATATTTCAGATGCTGTCAACATGATGGAAGGACACACGAATGGATTTGAAGATATGGAACACAAAGCCAGTGAAATAGAAGATAAAATTGTCACCATTGATCTGCTAGAGCAAAAAGCATAATCAAAAAGGAAGGGAGACAAAGATAAAACCTAAGAATAATGTGGGATACCATCAAGAGAAATAACACATGCAGCATCAGAACCCCAGAACAGAAAGAAGCAAGTAAAGGTACCAAAAAAGTTGTGGAAGAATTACTAGAAGAAAACATTCCAAGTATAATGAAGAATGAAAGAACATATATTCAAGAAGCTGAGTGAACACCATATAGAATAGACCCCAAAAGAAAAACACCAAGGCATATCATTGTCAATTTTGCCAGTACCAAAGATAAGGGGGGAATTCTGAAAGCAGCAAGGGAGAAACAAAGAGAGAGCAGATAAGATTAAGTGTCAATTTCTCAGCAGAAACCATGTGAGCAAGAAGACAGTTAGTTGTATGACATATATTGAACACACTAAGGAAACAATAATTAACCAAGAATATCATACCTGGAAAATTGTTAATTAAATATGAAGGAGAGATCAAGATATTCCCAGAAAAATAGAATCTAAGGGAGCTTGTAAAAATAACACCAATGTTGCAGGAAACACTGAGAGATGTCCTTTTACAGAGGTGCCACAGAATGCAGGATGGACCAAAGTAACTAGCAACAAAACCCAAAAGAATTCAACAAAACGATAGCAAGATACCTTGCCTCTCTATAATCACACTGAATATGAATGTTATCAATACACCACTGAAGAGGAAAAGAGCAGCAGATTGCATAAAACCCCCAAAATCCATCAATATGATGTCTACAAGAAACATACTTGAAAAGTGAAGATAAAGAAAGCCTAAAAATAAAATATGGGAAAAAAATATACCAAGCAAATGGCAACCTGAAAAAAGTAGTAGTAATGATATTAATCTCTGATAAAATAAAATTCAGTGCAAAAACCATCACAAAGGAAAAGGATGGTCACTACATTAGGCTTAAAGGGTAAATAGAACAAGAGATCATAACAATAATATCTAAGCACCAAATTAAAAACCTGTAAAATATATAAAAAAATAATAACAAAACTGAAAAAAGGAAATAGACAAACCTACTATAGTAGTTGGAGACTTAAATACACCACTCTCAAGAAAAGAGAGGACTACCAGAAAGAAACTCAACAAAGATGCTGAAGAAATAAACCACACAATAAACCAACTCGATCTCATAGATATTTATAGGCTAACGCACCCTCAAAACAGCACAGTATTCCTTCTCCAATGTGTATGAAACATTCTCAAGAATAGATCATATTTTAGGTCACAAAACAAGTATCAACAAATTAAAAAAGAATAGAAATAATACAAAGCATCTTCTCAGACCACAATGCTACAAAATTAGGAATTAATAACAAGAGGATAAGGGAGAGGGAAAAAAAACATACATTTGGAAGTTGAACAACACCTTGCTTGAACATGAGAGCTTACTAGAAGAAATAAAAAATGAACTTAAAAAGTTTCTTGAATGACATTGAAAACACCATTTACCCAAACCTCTTCAAAACAGCCAAAGCAGTAATCAGAAGTGAATTTATAGCAATACGCAAACAAAACAAATCAAAAGGCAGGAAAAAATGACCACTGAATCTCTAACCCAACATCTCCAACAAATTGAAAAAGAACAGCAAGAAAACCCAACACCCTCTAAAAAAAGCTGAAATTATAAAAATTAGGGCAGGATTAAATGAAATAGAAAACAGAAAAGCAATTGAAACCAACAACAAAACTAGAACTTGGTTCTTTGGAAAGGTCTATAAAATTGATAAACCACTAGCAAAACCAGCAAAGGAAAAGACAAATAATCTGACGAAAAGTTGAAAAAGGCAAAATCACAACAGAATCAACTAAATAAAAAAGACTAACCCTGGAATATTATGAAAAACTATAGCCAAACAAATATGAAAACTTACAAGAAATGGAAATTCCTTAGAAATTCACAACCTACCTAAACGGACACAAACTAGAATTAAATACCTGAACAGACCCATTACAAAAGAAGAAATTGAAAAGGTGGTAAAACAATTTTCAGACAAAAAAAGCCTTAGACCAGATGGTTTTACAAGTGAATTTTATCAAACATTGAGAGAAGAAAAGTGACCAATTCTACGTAAAAGACTTCAGAACATAGAAAAGAATGGAATTCTCCCAGACTCCTTCTATGGAGCAAACAGATCCTTGATACCAAAGCCAGGTAAAGACACCATCAAAATAGAAAACTATAGGCCAATATCTCTCATGAATATTGATGCAAAAATGCTAAATAAAATCATGGCCAGTAGAATCCAACTATACATCAAAAAAATAATTCACCAAGACCAAGTGGGATTCATAACAGGTATGCAAGGACGGTTCAACAGATGAAAAACAATCAGTATAATTCATCATATTAACAAAGCAAAGAACAAAAATATAATTTGATGCATAAAAGGCCTTTGACAAAATCCAACACCCTTTCCTGATAAAAACCCTAAAGAAAATAAAATTAGAGGGGAATTTCCTCAACATAGTAAAAAGCATACGTGCAAACACAAGAGTCAACATTGTTCTCAATGGAGAGAGATTAGAACCATTCCTTTGAGAACAGAAGCTAGGCAAGGATGCTCACTATCACCTCTCCTACTCAATCTTGTATTGAAAGTCTTAGTGATACCGATAAAACAAGAGAAGGAAATAAGAGGTATGCAAATTGCCAAAGAGGAGGTAAAATTATCTCTATATGCAGATGATATGATAGTATACTTAGAAAACTCTAAGGACTCAGCAAGAAAACTACTGGACATAGTTGACCAAATCAGCAAAGTGGCAGAATACAAGATCAAAATACAAAAGTCGATTGAATTTCTTTACAGTGACAAAGAAAATACAGAACTGAAGCTAAGAAAAGAATACTCTTCACAATAGTTAATCACAAGATTAATTACTTGGGGGTAAATCTAACCAGAAACAAAAAGGATCTATTCAAAGATCATTATAAAACATTACTGTAAGAAACAAAAAGACTTGGAGAAATTGAAGTATATACTGTGCTCTTGGATAGGAAGAATCAATATTGTGAAAATCACAATACTACCAAAGGCAATTTACATGTTCAATGCTATCCCAATACAAATACCAATTCCATTCTTCAATGAGATGGAAAAGGCAATCCCAATTTCATTTGGAATGGAAAGATGCTCCAGAGAAGCAAAACACTCCAAGGCTCTTTTTGTTTCTTGCAGGGTGGAAAATGTGCAACAATGAATGCATGGAAATCCAGTCTCTATAAACTTTAATTAAAATTTCAATTAAAAAGAAAAGAAAGAGGACTTTCTAAGATGGCAAGCCGAACGGTGAAGGATGCCCACAGCATCCATGGCACCAACCCTCAGTATCTAGTGGAGAAGATCATCTGGACGGGAATCTATGAATCCAAGTACTGGAAAGAAGAATGTTTCGGACTAACAGCTGAACTTGTAGTTGATAAAGCCATGGAGTTAAGATTTGTCGGCGGCGTTTATGGTGGCAACATAAAACCCACTCCCTTTTTATGTTTGACCTTGAAGATGCTGCAGATTCAGGCTGAAAAGGATGTCATTGTAGAATTTATAAAAAATGAAGACTTCAAGTATGTCCGCAGGTTGGTGCACTTTACATGAGGTTGACTGGCACTGCAATTGACTGCTACAAGTATTTGCAGCCTCTGTACAATGACTATCGGAAGATCAAGAGTCAGAACCGAAATGGGGAGTTTGAACTGATGCATATGGATGAGTTTATTGATGAGCTGCTGCCTAGTGAGAGAGTCTGTGACATCATTCTGCCCAGACTACAGAAACGGTATGTGCTGGAGGAAGCTGAGCAGCTGGAGCCTCGGGTTAGTGCCCTTGAAGAGGACATGGATGACATGGAATCCAGTGAAGAGGAAGAAGAGGAAGATGAGAAGTTGGAGAGAATTCCATCACCGGATCAACATCGGAGAAGCTACAGAGACTTAGACAAACCCCGTCGTTCCGCCACACTGTACTACAGGAGGAGCAGGAGCCGGTCTCCCAGAAGGCGGAGTGGGTCTCCCAAGAGGAGAAGCCCCTCTCCTCGCCGAGAAAGACATAGGAGCAAGAGTCCAAGACATCGTCGCAGTAGGTCCCGAGATCGCAGACCCAGATCTCGCTCCAAGTCCCCAGGTCATTACCACAGTCACAGGCACAGGAGCCACTCAAAGTCCCCTGAAAGGTCTAAGAAAAGCCAGAGCCGGAGAGGGAATGAGTAATGGACACCTGTTTGATTTTACTCCACATGGCCTCTTTTGTATATGGCAGGATCAGTCCATGTAGGATTAAGATTTGTTTCCCAGGCACCTATAAGAATATTTTAACATTTTCTTACCATGCTTTTCAACCCCCCACCCCCTTTTTTTTCTAAATTGATGTAAAGAGGTGGAAAAAAGAAAAGAAAGAAACCTAGGGGGTTATATTTCTCATTTTTGGAATGGGGTGCTGCCATGTTAAAAAGAAAGAATATTAGAATGATCCGTATGTCAGGAATTAGAGTTGGCGATATCAGCATGAATTTATATTTAGATTAACACAGACATCAAGCCCAAACTGCAACCCATTGCCATTGAATCAGTTCTGACTCTTAGGGACCCCATGTGTAGCAAAGTAGAACTGCATTATTATCATTTGTTGAGTCTAAATTTTATAGAGGAAGCTTTGGAGGTATAATCTCTAAAAAAGTAATGCTGTCAGCCCTATGACTCTTCTTTGGCAGATCAAATCCACTAGCACCTCCAACAGAGAAACATGGACAATCTCATCCCATGTGACTTACAACTTCTGAAACTATATGAAGGATGACCCATGAGTCATTAAGTACTACATGCCAATGTGAGAGAGGATCTTTAAAGAAACAGATTTACAGGCCTTTTTCTTTCTTTCTTTTTTTAACCTACATAGTGGAATTTATTTGAATTTCATATCAACAATATTGTTGTTGTTGTTCTTGTTGTTGTTGCTGAGTTCTGTCGAGTTGAGCATGACTCATAGTGACCCCATGAACAAAAGGTCTAAATCCTGTTCTATAACTATTATCATTTCTCTAATGTTCATAGAATTTCCAAAGGCATGTTGTTTAGAAAGTGATTGCCAATCTTGCTTCCAAGCCTGTCTTAATCTGGGAGCTCCACCAAACACTGTCTACTATGTATAATGATTATAGCATCTGACACACCAGTGGCACAGTGTTCAGCATCACAGCAACTCCTAGTTACCATAGTAGAGCAAACTGGCAGAACAGTGCTGTACTCGTACCCATTAGGAGTAATGATATCAGTTTCAGGACTAAGTGTACCTGATTCAGGCCATAGTCTTTCTGGTCACTAGCTATACATCTGAGAACTGGACAATGCTAGGGAGGGGTAGGGAAGGAGGGAGAGAAAATGTGCAAAAATGAATTTAAAAATTAAAAAATATTAAAAGTGATCAAGAATTTATGAGATACTGTACAACATGGATGAAACTAGACTAAATCATGAGTGACATAAAAGGAGAAGGGATAAAGTGTGTAACAATGAATAATGAAAATCTAATGTTTCTGTAAACTTTTGTTAAAATGACAATTAAAATTTTAAAAAAATTGTTTAAAAAATGGGAAATTATTATATAAGGCCATTCATATGAAAAACTAAGGAATCAATCTTGCAAGGTTAACAGGGATAAGAAGGGAAGGCGAGAGGAGTAAAATTTAATAGATAAATTGAGTGAAGTGAAAGGCAATATGCAATGAGAGTTTGATTGTTGTTGTAGTTGTTGGTTGTCATCGAGTTGAGTGCAACTCATAGTGATCCCATGAACAAAAGATCTGAACCCCGTCCTATCCTGTGTCTTCCTCACACTTCCTGACACACTAGAGCCCATTGCAGCAGTCACCATGTCAATCCACCTGGTCAAGGGTCTTCCTTTCCTTTGCTGACTCTTCACCCTTCCCAGCATCATGCTCCTCTCCAAGGAATAGCACCTCTTAACATTGTTTTTCTTATGTTGAACCATCATTACATACCTATATTGAGGATTTTTTACATCTATGTTCATAAGGAATATTGGTATATAGTTTTCTATATTTTGGTGCTGTCTTTACCTGACTTTGATTTCAGGGATTACATATGTTTGCTTCGTAATATGAGTCTGGGAGTATTCCCTCTTTTTCTATTTTCTGAAATATTTATGTAGAATTGGTGACCACTCTTCTATGGATGCTTGGCAAACTTCATTTGTAAAGCTATATGGTCCAGAAGCACTCTCCATTGCTTGTGGAAATACAGGGTTGAGGCATCCCTGGGGTTGTAGGTCCCTCCATCTGGGGTTCATTGCTTCTGTGGCTACGGGTCAATCCCAAGGGCCAAACAGGATAAGAGACTTTAATATATTAGAACTTCAAGCAAAGGAAAGAATTTTCTTGGATTTCTGTGACAGAAGGCTGACCCATAAACTTCTGCAAACAGGTGGCCCAACCAGTGGACCCTAATCTCTCACCATGCCAGAGACAAAGGAAGAAACTAAGCCAGAGGAGAAAAGGTGAGGGGAGGTGGGGCTTTGTGTCTAGAGCGAGCACTCTCCATTGCTTGTGGGGAGACAGGACTGAGGCATCCCTGGGGCTGTAGTTCCCTCCATCTGGTGTCCTTGTCTACAGAGCTGCAGGGCAGTCCCAGGGACCAAACAGGACAAAAGATTTTAGTGTGCAGAGCTTCTGGCAGAGGAAAGAATGTTCTTGGCTCTCCATGACAGAGGTCTGATCTGCAAGCCTCTGCGTAGGGTTGGCCCATGCAGGCAGTTCTGATTGCCCTCGAAACAAAAAGAGGTCACTAAGCTGCAGGAGAAAAGGTTAAGGAATGCAGGGCTCTGTGCCTAAAACAAACACTCTCCATTGTGGGGAGATGGGACTGAGGCACTCCTGGGGTTGTATGTCCCTCCATCTGGGGATCCTTCCCTCCTTGGCTGCAGGGCCATCCCAAGAGCCAAACAGGATAAGAGATTTTAGTATACCTACTTTCAGACAGAGGGAATGGATTCCTATAGCTCTCTGCTAGAGAGAGGAAGGACTGATTTGAGATCCCCTTCACACAAACTGCTTGAGTAGGCAGACCTTATCTCTAATTTCCTGCCACTCCAGATACAAAGGAAGACATTAAGCTCCAAGGGGAAAGGTGCATGAGAAACTGCTTGAGTAGAGTGCCTGGTTTCACACCACTCAGCCACTTTATCTATGAAGGAGGCATATAGGGTTGATGTTAGGGGACTACTTCAAGTTGAGATTCCTACACAGCTACAGTGTAGAACAGAGAGAACTCAAAAAACTTTAGGAAAGGCAAATTTCCCCCAAAATGACTTATAGTAGAATGAGTAGCTCATCACATTTTAACTTGGCATCCAATTAGTAGCATTATAAAGGTAAGAACTAACAACAATTTTCCCAGACACAAATAGAAATGACCTAAAACTTACCAAAAAAACCCCAACAACTTCACATAATGTCAAGAAAGCAGCAGGCAGCTGTAAACACTGTGGGGAAAATGAAATAAACGTTCTTAAAAAAAAAACCTAATCAGAGTATCAGTACCTCATAAATACCCCAGAGTTAAGAAGGCAGGTGATATGTGCTAATATAGCTTTGAACATATATGAATGAAAGTACAAATGATGGAAGAAAAAATGGAAGCCACAGAGAAAGGTAATAAACTAGAGGTATAAAAACAGAAAAAATCTATTGATGAAGATTTATTTGAACAGCTATGGGAGAGGGTGCAAATGATGGAAGAAATAATGGAAACCAACAAGAAAGAAAATACTCCAAAGACATGGAACAAGTAGAAATATTTTTAGGAGGAGGACCTTGCACAAATATGAAAGAACATAAAATAAATGGAAGAAATAATTGAAACCATAAAGAGATACAAGAACTTAAAAAATTGTCACAAGATAGAGTGCTGCCAACACAGTAGAAGAAATAAGAGAAAGGCAATAAAATGCAATCTAGAACGTTAAGACTGAAATTACAGGAGTGTCCAACACATTGAAAGGATAAAAATCTGGAATAGAAGAGATGGAACAGAGAGTCAGTGAGCTAGAAGACGTGAACCTCAACAGAAACATACTAGAAGAAAAATCAGAGATGAGACCAAAAAAAAAAAGAAGTAAATATAGAAGAATAATTTGGGATGACTTCAAAAGGAATAACATATGGATGATTGGAATTCCAGAATATGAGAGTGTTGGGGCCTGACTAACTTGTAAAGCAAGATTAGCCCTGTACCAAAAGACCAGCAAGACTAATTCTATCTTGGCTATAGTATCTGCTTGACAGAAAACAACTAAAGGAAGTAGGATGTTAAAAAGTAAGTCATACTGCAGCCATTTTATGCAAGTAGCCATTTGTGCCAGGCTCAAAAGTGCAGAACTGTTCATCATTGTGGTTTGATGTTTGACGGGAAACAGAAGTTTAACCGTTCCTTGAACCCTAGGACTAAGCAGGGATGTGGATAATGGAATGTCCCTCCCTAAAGACTCTGTTTATACTCAAATGCTAATAGTCTTGCCTGATAAGAAAAATAAGCAACCTTACTTGCCTAAGCTAGAAAGTGATTTGTAAATAAAAATAAAATGTACTGTCAATCTTGAGGCTGAGTTGTTTTTCTGTTCACTGCAAGAAAGCATATAAGACATAAGCTCAATAATAAACTTTGCTATTCGGCATCAGCGGTAGCCTCTCTGTGTCTTCATTTTCAATCCAAGTCCCTTCTCTCAGTGGAACTGTTCAATATAACGAGGCTGGGCTCCATTATGAGAGGAACAGGAAAATCATTGAGAAAATTGTGGAAGAGATACTAGAAAAAAACTTCCCAGGTATTATGAAGAATGAGGAAATCCACATTGAGGAATCTCACTGAACACCAAATAGACTAGACCCAAAAAGGAAAACATCAAGAAATATCATAGTCAAATTCTCCAAAATAAAAGAGAAGGATAGGATACTGAAAGCAACACAAAAACAGAGTCATATTCATAGGAAAAGCAATCAAATTAAGTTCTGATTTTTCAGCAGAAAACATGTAAGCAAGAACAATGGGATGGCATATACAGAAAATTGAAAGAAAACAATTGCCAACCCAGGATCCTGTACCCAGCAAAGCTCTCCATCAACTATGAAGGAGATATCACATCTTTTGCAGAAAAGAAAGAACTTAAGGCATTTGTGAAAACAAGACCAAACCTTCAAGACCTTTTTTTTAAATTAATTTTAATGAAAGTTTACAGAGACCTAGGGTTTCCAGCCATTCATTGTTGCAATTTTCTCCCTACCCACACCCTACCCTCCAATTCACTCTTCTCCTTAAAAAGAA